AGGGTGGGCGGAGCTAAATCCCAATCATTAAGTTATTATCCGTCATTAATTAATCGCAGGATTATTAGGCTAATTAATGACTTAGGGCAGGCTTATGGCTGAATTAACGATGCTAATTTATGCAAATTTAGGCAAATCAGCGGCCAGGAGCCGCCTGGAGCCAGAGGGGGCGGGGCTAAACCTCAATTATTAGATGATATGGCATCATTAATTAATAATAGGACTAATTTGCCAATTAGTGACTTAAGGCGGGTTTATGGCTAAATTAACCATGCTAATTTATGCAAATTTATGCAAATCAGCGGCCAGGGGCAGCCTGGAGCCCGAGGGGGGCTGGGCTTAACTTTAACTATTAAATAATAAATCCTTAATAAGTCGTGCTAATAATATTGGGGTAATTGATGAATTAAGGGTAAATTAATGATGCTAATTTATGCAAATTTATGCAAATCAGCGGCCAGGGGCAGCCTGGAGCCCGAGGGGGGCTGGGCTTAACTTTAACTATTAAATAATAAATCATTAATAAGTCGTGCTAATAATATTGGGGTAATTGATGAACTAAGGGCAAATTAACGATGCTAATTTATGCAAATTTATGCAAATCAGCGGCCAGGGGCAGCCTGGAGCCCGAGGGGGGCGGGGCCGGCGCGGGGGGGCCCCGGAAGCGTCGCTGGGGGGCCACGACCCCCAAGAAACCCTCGATCAACATCAGCACCGACTCCCTCAAGGTGAGGCCGTTCCCGCCAAAAAAAAAATTCCCAAAAAATCCCCAAAAACCCCCAAAACCCGGGAAAACCTCGGGAAGGAATTCCCGGTTTTTCCCGGGTGAAAATCCGGCGGTTTTGGGTCGAAGTTCGCTGTTTTTACGGCAAAAATCCGCCTTTTTTTTTTTCCCCCTCAATTTTCCCCGTCTTCCTCCGGAATTCCCGGGTTTTTCCAAGAATTCCCAAATTTCTCCTGAAATTCCCCAATTTTGCCGCAAAATCCCCAAGTTTTTTCCCCGGAATCCCCAAATTTCCCCCCAAAATTCCCGGATTTCCCCCCAAAATTCCCCAGTTTTCCCAGAATTGCCGGATTTCCTCCCGAAATTACCGAATTTCTCCTAAAAACCCCAAATTTTCCCCAGAATCGCCAAATTTTTCCCCCAAAATTCCCAAATTTCAACCAAAATTCCCGTTTTTCCCCCCAAAAATTCCCAAGTTTCTCCTAAAATTCCCCGATTTTCCCTCAAAATCCCCAAATTTCTCCCCAAAACTCCCAAATTTTCCCAAAATCCCCGGATTTCCTCCCAAAATTACCAAATTTCACCTAAAAACCCCAAATTTTCCCCAGATTTCCCGAATTTTTCTCCAAAATCCCCAAAATTCCTTCAAAATTCCCAAATTTCCCTCAAAATTCCCAAATTTCAACCAAATTTCCCCCCAAAATTCCCAAATGTTCCTTTAAAATCCCCAAATTTTCCCCAGATTTCCTG